GGCACTGCTCCTAGGAGATACAATGAGGAATCAATCCACTTGTACTGACTCCTGAGTGTAGGCGAGCTTAAAGAGCTTCGCCTTTGCATAGTGTGGCTGGGCGTGGGGGGTTGGTCAGTGGACATCTGGGGTGCGTGGAGGTAAGATAAGATATACTACTAGGGTGGAAGTAGATGGTGGCTTCTTGACAGTGTCACCGGAAGACAGAATGGCACCCCAAGCACTGTAAGAGGAGGGAGGGCACAAATAGTAGCACGAGAGAGAGAGAGAGAGAGAGAGAGAGAGAGAGAGAGAGAGAGAGAGAGAGAGAGAGAGGGAGAGAGAGAGAGAGACAGACCAGCAGGTGAACAAGCTCACAACGCCCTGTTCTCCACGCCCATTTCCTTGTCTGTCTTCCCCTCTAGCGAGCATGTGGGTCCTTTAGGGTGAAGCCCTTTCATTTGTTTATTTATGTTCTGCATTCCCAGCATACACCGGAGAGTGCTGGGGATGCAGTCAGGAGCGCTTTTAGCTCAGAGGTTAGGACATAAGAGGAAGATTTCCCCAGCAAGGTGCGTTTTCAATGGGCCGTGGCAGGGGGAGATGGAACTGGGGTGGCATCTGCCCAAAATGGGCACTTGGGTTTGACGGGGTCTAAGGAAGTCTTTGCTTTGAACCAGATCTCCTCCCTCCTCACCAGGATATGAGTCTGGGGTTGTGGAAAGACAGGAATGTATGTGGGGGTGGGGATTGGCATCAAATCTGCTGCCTAGGGAAGGGACGTAAATGCAGGAGTGGGAAGATGGGGGAGGGGAGAAGTGGGCCTGCAGGGGCCCAGTTCCTCTGAAATTGGTTTTTTGGGGGCTTGCCATGTTTTTGATTAAGAAATGCTGCAGTCTCCCTGGGGTTAAAGGTACAACAGTAATGCCATATATTATCATGAGCGGCTATCTCCGTGTCATGTAAGCAGTGAGACTTCAGGATTTATTTCTTCCGCAGGTTGATCTATCCCTTTGATAGATCGTTCGCTTGTCCATTTAGTCAATGTATCATTTATACATGGATCAGGCACCTACATCATGATGGGGTGGGTTAGGGCAGTGGTCGGCAAACTTGTTAGTCAACAGAGCCAAACATCAACAGTACAACGACTGAAATTTCTTTTGAGAGCCAAATTTTTTAAACTTAAACTCCTTCTAACGCCACATCTTCAAAATAGACTCGCCCAGGCCATGGTATTTTGTGGAAGAGCCACCCTCAAGGGGCCAAAGAGCAGCATGTGGCTCGCGAGTCGCAGTTTGCCGACCCCTAACCGTTAGGGTAGCTCAGGGACAAATTCACATATGGTTTTGCCATTAGGGACTGCTCAGTTCCGTGTGTGCTTTTTACCATTAGGCCACATGATAACAAGAGTCTTTTGGAAATTAAAAGGCACAGGACATACAGTGGGCAGGTGCAGTGATGACTCCCCTGCAGTAAAATTTAAAGACACATCAATTGGTCTGGACCACATTTCCAAGGTCTTGAAAACCTCTGTATACTAATTTAAGTTTCTTGTTAATCTATGTTTATTTTATGGTTCAGGAAATTGGTCGAAGCTGTCAAACCTCCCCTCCTCCCCTCCCTCCCTGCCAAACACACACACACACACACACACACTGTGAGAATGTGTGCTGGGGAGAAGGACCAGGACAACTCCCTGAGGTCACCCCAGGAAAGGGGAGGGGCTGTCCCTGTCACAGCCTGCCTGGCGGTGTGTCTCCCCGTTTTTTGGCACATTGTCCTGGAAAGGGAGGGTCAGGGTTCCAAAGTGCAATATTATATTTCCAATTAAAACGTAAAACACAAACCTTTCTCTTCAGACACATTGGCCTCAGCACCGGGAAGGGACTACAGAGCCCAGTGCTGATGGAGGAACGCTGAAAACAGACACTGTAATTGATAAAAAGGAGATAAGTCAATCTGTGTCCCGTAAAGAATAATGAGGCCCATCTTTCATCAAAAAGATCTCCCTGTGCCGAAGAAACGCTCTTTCAATAAATCCACTTAATGGTTTCCCCTCGAGTGATATATGACGTGGGCTTCGGAACAGCATCCCAGCAGGTCCCTGGGAGGGACCTGGGCCACCCGTCATTTGCATTGCTAATTCCACCCGCAGAGGCCCGTGCTCCGGAAGGGCTGCTGTTCCTGGGATCTCTGGGAAGGCCTTCCTGGGCTCCTCAGGCAGGGAGATGGGATGGAATCTGGAATAAATACCCTGCCCCTAAACTGGAGATTGATAGATCCTCCCTTCCCCCAACGGATGGATGGCGTATGACGTAACCTGTACCTGCAGCATGGACGTTCCTGAGCATCTGACCAGGCACATCGAACCACCCATCAGCACCTGCCAAATACCCTAAGTCCCCAATTCCTAAGTCCCTAATCACGTGCCTTACATGAAACCACCAATCAGCGTGTGCTGAGTGCCCTAAGCCCCGTCCCTTCCTTTTCCTCCCCTCAAAAGATGGGTTCACTCTGGCACATGTGCTCTTCCTCCTCTGGAAGGCAGCCCGGCAGGGTCTTCTCCTCCAATAAAGCCTGAGTCCTGGTCTCCTGGTCTCCGGCCCTCTCAGCTTTCAGAGATCCTTTGAAAATTGACATTCCCTGCCCCTCACCCCCCACTCCCCATCCTCCCGTGTTCAGGGATCCATCAGCTCTAGGAATGACTCGTGTCACATAGCTAAAGAATTAAATGCTTCGGCTGAAACCGGTTTGGCTCAGTGGATAGAGCTTCGGCCTGTGGACTGAAAGGTCCCAGGTTCGATTCCGGTCAAGGGCATGTACCTTGGTTGAGGGCACATCCCCAGTGGGGACTGTGCAAGAGGCAGCTGATGGATGATTCTCTTTCATTGATATTTCTAATTGGTCGAAGCTGTCAAACCTCCCCTCCTCCCCTCCCTCTATCCCTCTCTCTTCCTCTCTGTAAAAAAATCAATAAAATATATATATATATATATATTTTTTTTTTAAATCTAAAAAAAAAAAAAAAAAAAGTTAAACGCTTTGGATACTGGAGTTGCGAGAGCTTACTGGCGGCCGTTCCCTGCTCTCATGCTCTCCCACAGCCCTGTTCGGGCCATTTTGGTGTTTGCCCTGCGGGAGGTGGTCTGTGTTTATGGCCTTTGGTAAACAGAAGGTCCCCTTTAGTGAGCCCACTGAAATGTGCTGCCTACAGGCCTGCTCTCTCCCCCCACCCACCCACGCACCCACCCCCAACCATGAGGGCCCGGCAGAAGGGCCTGTCCCCCACGGGAATGAGTGAGGCCCCCCCCTGCGCCCCGTGCAAAGCAGCAGGACTTCCTGCTCCACCTGGCTTACCGTGGCGAACCCCAACTTTATAAACGTGCTGTGACTTTTTGTCCCCCACAAGGCTCCAGCTTTATGTAACCCAACCTATTTCCTCCACGGGCCCCAGCCCTCCCCGGACAGGCAGACTTCCCCACCTGGGAATCATTAAAAACAACCCGAGTGATTTCCTTATGTTACTGTTTGTTTATCCTCCTGTCGCAGAGTGAGTCAGCCGGATCAGGATCCGCGGTGGTTCTGCTTGTGAAATCTTACATAATCGTATTCCCATTGTCACGTTGGGCCGCGCAGTTAGATCGGAGAGTGTTTTCCCATTTCACAAGGCCTGCCTGCCGATCAATATACGGAGAAAGCCTGAACAATGAGGTGATGGGAGCGGCCGGGCGCCAGTCACCCCGAGGTGTTCTGCAGTTTCGCAGAGACATGCGGCCGGCGACCAGGGCGTCCTCAGGTGCCCGGCCGAGCAGGGTGCCTGGGCCGAGCAGGGTGCCTGGGCCGAGCAGGGTGCCCGGGCCGAGCAGGGTGCCCGAGCCGGGTGGTGGCCTTTGGCACGGGTCTCCTCGGGGGCAATTCTTAAAGAAACAAAAGCCAGGGAACAGAAAGAACGACAGGAACCACAGGTCACACAGAAACCGACCAAATTTTTACTGCATTTGCTACACGCTGGATCCCGACATGCTGGCCCCGAGCGTGGCTGGCTACAAGCTGGATAGACTCCTCCGACGGCTCGTCCGCTGGCTCTCCCTTCCCCGCCTGGGACAGCATCGACGTGGGTCCTCCTCACCGTCCCTAGTCCGGAGGCAGGTATTCAAAACACACTCTTGATGCACACAGTGAGTGGCTACAAGACACGAATGGGTGCGATTCCCGCCACAGGACGAGGGGCCCAGGGAAATGGTGGGCGGAGGCAAGACGCCCCCTCGGGGTGGCTGAGAACATGACGGGGCTCAAAACCCACGAGGGAGCTATTTTTTTTGTTTTTTAAACTCCCGGAGTCTATGGGAACTAGTTGATCCTAACGTGATTTCAGTTTTCATTCAATATCCGACCCGATTGAAACCACGTTGGTTGGCATACGGCTTTGAGCAGTGCGTGTGTGCGCGCGCCTGAACAGTGACTCACACGGGAGAGAGGATGAAGGTTACAAAGACCTGCAGAGAGAGAGAAACTGCGTGACTCTATATGAAGACAACGACCATCACATTCCACAGCACGGCATCGGGAGACGGGTGAATCGTCAAGCATTATTTAAAAACGAGAGAGAAGAGAACGAGACACAAGCGCCACGAGAGAGAGAGATAACGACCGGGACCACGGGGCCGGGCCCGGTTTCCCTGTCGATCCTGGGAAAGCGTCACCTCTGTGTCTAACACGGTTCATTCATGGCTATTGCGAGCTCCGGTGGCAGGATCGGATGTCCGCTGCCTCTGGACACGAGTTATGATCTGATCTCAGGTTCCAAGGGAAATGCGCAAAGTTTTATCCCCCTCCCTCCCCTCCCCCACCCGGGTGAATAAACAGGACTACGTATATCATCTCGTGGGCTAGAACAGCGTTGTCTTCACATAAGACTCCACGACGGGCATTAGTCATTCATTTCCTCGAACACAGACACCCCCATGCGTGCTGACAGGTTTATAAGGATGCGGTGGCTGCCGTGGTCCGGGGAGCTGCTAGATGACGGACTTTGATTTCTTGCAGTCCTGAGCGATGGGGCCCGGGTGTGTCTGGTTACTGTCCGCCTTCTCTCCCAGATGCTGGCCTTGTCTGGAAGATTAATACATGAACAAGAGCTGGATGGGGCAGGGTTGCACAACTTCAGACATGTTTATTAGCAGATGGCACCCGGGATGCAAAGGTCACCCCCAAAGTGACATTTTAAAGTGAAACAACAATATTTATGTTCAGATAGTCTCCCGGTGAGATCATGTGGAAACGGTTTTGATTAAATTAGGCTTATAAATGGTTGCCAATCTATGGACAACTTGAAATGCCACGTCTGGGTACCAAATGTTTTCTTCTCACGCTCTCACCTTCTCAAAATGAATGAGCAAAGGCTGGTTTCAGGAGGGGTGATTCCTTAGCTGCGGATCAGCGTGTCTGGTTTTGATGTTCTGGGTTATCTATTTTTTGTTTGTTTGTTTGTTTGTTTTCTTCTCATCCTAGAAACGTTATCTCCTGTGTGTGTTCTGAAGGCTCACCTGCTGTGATGACTGCTCTCAGAGACTTTGCATTCCGCTATGTAAATATAATTGCGTTCAATTTCTCTACTATAAATTGGGTCTCTGGAGAGACCTGAAATCCAGTCTCAGACAAGAGCTTAAGTTCCATTGCATGAAAAAAAAAAGCCCTGAGCTGGATTTCAGAAAGACTCACTACCACTGCATTTCTGGCTCGAAAGCCCTGGAGAGCCACACTTTGGTGGCAACGTGTGCTTGTGTTTCCTACAACGCAAAAGGCAAATGCTGAGGAGGGGAGGGTCCCCTCTCAGCTGCTTTTCCTTTCCTCTCTGTGGTGCCCACACCCGGGCAGGAATGGGAGTCAAACATTTTCACTCAGAAAGTGGTTCAGCCAGAAAATGCCCAACAGAGTGAAGTGAACACAATTTTTTGGTTCATTTTCCCAGTCTCTATGGTCAACAAGACACATGCAGATTTCCAACGGAGGCACTAACATGCAGACATAGTAACCTGTGAGCAGGTTAAGACAGGCTGCAGGAGATGACTATGACCCTATGTGCGGTTTCCCGTTTATTCACATTTAACTGAATTACGAATGATTTTGTGAGAGACGGGTATCCGTGTCTTAAGTGTTTCGCCTCATCGTGATCTGCGTTTTGTTTCATTTGTTTGTGCAGCGACAAAATTATAAATGTGAGAATACGACAGAAGGTTTACTCACTTTTCAAGAGAGCTTTTGTCAATATTCATTGTCCCTTCCATTGGATCCAGTCCTTGCTCAGAAAATTGTTTCAAGGCACTTAAAGCAGCCTGGAAATGAAAACACACACACAGACTAACAAGGAGACCCATTCACTGGCTTTACGGTCACAAACAGGCAGTTGTAAAAGGAAGCTGACCTAAAGAGTGAAGGCTGGCACTTGTATTCGTCTAAACAAATGGTTTGCTGCGTCGCTTAGCAATATTACATTGGCACGGCGGTAACGTGTCTACCGTGAGAGCTGTATTTCTAACGTGGGGTGGGGGAGGTAGAGAGGGCAACCTCAGCACGCCTTACGCCTCATCCCTGGACCATAGTTTTGTAAAATCACAATGTTTTATCTGCAAATGTGGAACACCCCTGTATAAGCGTCACATACTTGGATGGTGACTCTGTATAATTTCTCCTCGCTATCCTGAAACTACACACTCTCTGCCTTCAGAGTGAGAACATCTGACTTTCCCAAACCCAAATCCTCTTTCCGAAATTAGCATTCAGGATGCTGCTCCATTTGACAAACCGTGGGCCCTCACCAAGTCACAGAATGGGAGCCCAGAGAGGAGGACGCTCCAGCAAACCAAGGGCATGGTGTACTGGTATATCCTGAACCCCCAACCCCCTTCCTGGGGCCCCGGGGAGGCAGGCCCGGCCTCCCAAGGTGCCAATAGGCCCGCGCTGCGGGGGCCGCTGACGGGTGCTGACAGGCTGGCGGAGCCCCGCTGGATGGCTGGGAGGCACCAAAAATGCGATGCTGATAAGATCTACATAACTCTCTGACACTCTTGTGCATGTTCCAAACTGTTATTTCGTGGAATGAGAATTTGGTTCTTCTTCCCCTCCTCCGCACCCCCCCCCCCACCAGCTCTGTAAGCCCCACCAGAGGGGCTTTGTTGAGTCTGAGAGAGGTGTGAGCAGCCAGGGGTGCTTGGCTCTCGGGCATCCTGCTGTGTCACACCTTGGTCCTCTGTGTCTTCTCAACTGCCTCAGGGAAAGAGCTAACTCTTGCAATTGCCCAGACTTTTGTCTGCCAGGGACCCCTTTTGGGTAGCTGACAAGGGCATGATCCCTTTGACGTTTCTTTATGCGTAATATATATATATATACATCCTTTTGGTTTTTAAGTTAATAGACTTTATTTTTTGAGAGCAGTTTTAGGTTTGCAGAAAAATGGAGGAGGGGGTACAGAGTTCCCGGGCACCCCTCCCCTCCCCCACCCTAACACCATGTCACCTGTTATTGCAGCCTGCATTGGCACAAGTCGGCTGCTACAAGTGATGACACAATACTCATACATCATCATTAACTGAAGCCCACAGTTGACATTAGGCTTCTCTCTTTGTGCTGCATATTCTCTGTGTGTGTGTGGTTTTTAAATATATATATAGTATTGATTTCAGAGAGGAAGGGAGAAGGATAGAGAGATAGAAGCATCAATGATGAGAGAGACTCATTGACTAGCTGCCTCCTGCATGCCTCCTACTGGGGATTGAGCCTCTCAACCCAGGCATGTGCTCTGACTGGGAATCAAACCATGACCTCCTGGTTCATAGGTCAACGGTCAACCACCAAGCAGCACTGTTTGGGCCATTCTATGGGTTATGACAGACGCATAATGTCATGTGGCCACCATCACAGTGCCATGCAGAATGGTTTCGCCACCCTAACAGCTTCCTACATGCCACCTGTTCACCCCTTTTCCTTATCCCCCCCAGATCCATGGCAACCACAGATTTTGTGACAGTCTCCATAGCTGCCTTTTCGAGAATGTCGTACAGTTGGGATCATGCAGCACACCATTTCAAATGAGCTTCTTTCCCTGAGTTATATGCATTTTAGGTTCTTCCATGTCTTCTGATGATTAGATACCTCATCTCTGTTTAACGACTGAGTAATATTTCATTGTGTGGATGTACCACAACTTATCCATTCATCCACCGAGAGACATCTTGGTTGTTTCCAAGTTTTGGGTGTTATGGATGAAGCTGCTATAAAATATGTGTGTAGATTTTTGTGGAATGTAAGTAATCTTTTTGTCTCCCTCCTCTCTTGGTCTTTCTATTTTTTTTAAAAAAATATATATATTTTATTGATTTTTTTTTTTAACAGAGAGTAAGGGAGAGGGATAGAGAGTTAGAAACATTGATGAGAGAGAAACATTGATCAGCCACCTCCTGCACACACATACACACACACACACACACACACACACACACACACCACGGATGTGCCCACAACCAAGGTACATGCCTTTGATCGGAATCAAACCTAGGACTCGTCAGTCTGCAGGCTGACTCCCTATCCACTGAGCCAAAAACGGTTAGGGCAGTCTTTCTATTTTTAAATCACAACTCCTATATCCAACTCAAAGGTGCTTTTCTTTTAGGTTAGACCCGGGGTTGGCAAACTGCGGCTCACGAGCCACATGCGGCTCTTTGGCCCCTTGAGTGTGGCTCTTCCACAAAATACCACGGCCTGGGCCAGTCTGTTTTGAAGACGTGGCATTAGAAGAAGTTTAAGTTTAAAAAATTTGGCTCTCAAAAGAAATTTCAGTCGTCGTACTGTTGATATTTGGCTCTGTTGACTAATATTAGAGTTTGCCCACCATTGGGTTAGACTAGTCTTCCTTTCACGTCTCTGCCCTGGTCTCCCCAGCTCAGAGGTGCTAAGCTGACTGCCCAGGCAGGTCCGCAGCTCTGCTGGTCACGCTGGGAAGGGACGGGCTGGGCTCAGGCCCCCCCCCCCCCCATTTTCACCATTATCTATCTCTTTGAACCTGGAGTCCTCGGGGATGTCGGCGCCCCACCCCACTACTCCTGACCTTGGTCCAAGCTCTCACTGCACAGCAGCTGGCACATGCTGTGGTGGCGGGTAGGCACTGATCTCGGCTGGGTAGGAGCAGGTGCCTATCTCATCAGGGCACTGGTATTGGTTGACGTGTGTCCGCCCCCAAATGTATATGATGAAGCCCTGACCCCTAGTACCTCAGAACGAGGTGCTTTCTGGAAATAGGTCACGGCAGATGTAACTAATTAAGATGAAGTCACCCTAGGGCGGGGTAGGCCCCGATCTCATATGACCAATGCCCCTATAAACAGGGAGTGTGGACACAGACGCACACACAGCAAGAACACTATGTGACCGGAAGGCAGGGGCCGGAGTGATGTAGCAGAAACCAAGGAACGCCAAGGATAGTTCACAAACCGCCGAAAGCTGGAGGGAGGCAGGAAAGAGATTCCCACTCTCTCGGTCTCGGAAGGAACCAGCCCTGCTGACACGGTGACCTTGGACTTTTGGCCTCAGCACGGTGAGACAATGAGCGTCTGTTGATGAAGCCACTCCGCCACATGCAGTACTTTGGGACGGAGACTCTAATGAACAAATTCAGGCACCACGTCATACCTCCTCTTTAAGGCTAGCAGGGCCCCTTTCCCCTCTCTGATGTTTCATTTTATCCCATTACTGTAAAAAAGAGTTTTTCATTACAGAAAAAAAAAATCATAATATTTATAAAGCAAGCAAAATAAAAGTGCAAATAGTCACAATCCCACCCGCCATGCACAGCATGGTGTCTGCCTTCCCATCCCCGCCCCATGCCCATCCCCTCTCCACAGGGACATATAAGGCCGGATGGCACCTGAGCCCGCTGAGTAACCTGCCCTTTTTCCGAGAACACGGGCAGCACTCCACGGCAACACAAACACCTGTTCCCTGCCGTTGGCCCTTCAGGCCCCTCCCAAGTTTTAAGCAGCTATGAGCACGACACCAAACTTCCTAACGTCAAACTCCACATACCATCTCTGATTTCCTTACGGCAAATTCCTAGAGACTGATGTTCTTCCCTAAGAGCATTAACATTTTTATTTTTTATTTTTTAAAATAGATTTTATTGATTTTTTTTTTTTTTTTTTTTTTTTTTTTTTTTTTTTTACAGAGAGGAAGGGAGATGGATAGAGAGAAACATAGATCAGCTGTCTCTTGCACACCTCCTACTGGGGATGTGCCCGAAACCAAGGCATATGCCCTTGGCCGGAATCGAACCTGTGACCCTTGAGTCCCTAAGCCAATGCTCTATCCACTGAGCCAAACTGGTTAGGGCAAGAGCACACACATTTTTTAAGATCTGGTCTCTCCGCCCTCAGTGAGGCCGAGGCCGCACCAGCAGTGTGAGAGCATCTGTTCTCCAGGTGCTTCTGGAACCAATCACCTCTGAGAGCCATCGTGGGTCACTGGAGCAGACCATGCTGTCCTTTTGTGGCCCTGCCTTCTTTTGAATTTGTCCATCCCGACCATTTACCTTTTTGAGTAGACTTTTAAAAGATCTTTATTGTTGAAATGATGACATGTGTCCCCCTTTCCCCTCATGGACCCCTTCTAGGCCCTCCCCAGGCCATCACCACCCTATTGTCAGCGTCTGTGGGCTATGCACAAATGCATGCAAGTCCTTTGGTTGACCTCTTCCCACCTACCCACCTTCCCACACCTTTCTTCCGAGATGCCTCAGTCTGTTCTATGCTTCTGTGTCTCCGGATCTATTTTATTCATCAGTTCATTTTGTCCATTAGATTCCACATGTGAGTGAGGTCATGTGATGCTTTGTCTTCCTCTGACTGGCTTACTTTGCTTAGCATCATGCTCTCCAGGTCTCTCCAGGATGTTGCAAATGGTAAGAGTTCTTTCTGTGGACTTAGTTTTGAGGGATGTTTCTTTCAAAACTTAAATTCACCCTCAAAAGACTTAGATGTGGACAACTCCCCTCCCCAACAAAGGAATCTGCAGAGAGAGCTGACTCTCATTCAGACCCAATTAGCTAGCCCTGGAGTTCCTTTTAAGTCCTGAAACGCAGAGGTGGCTGGGCGGCTTCCCCGGGCCAGCACGCTGAGGATGGCCCTGCAGGTGCGGGCACTCTTGTGAGCCTGTCGCATGCACCTCAGCTCTGGAGGCCCACCCTGTGCCCGCGTATACAGAGGGCAGGGCCAGGCCACTCGGTGCAGAGCACCAAAGACCGACCCGTGCTTGACCTTTCCAGAAAGCATCGCTCTGTGGCGCGGCC